CCCTCAGAGGCATATGCTCGAAGGGGTCTGCGGCTCCAATACTAAGGGCATGCCACGAACTCCCCTAAATCTGCATAGCGCTTCATGCTCCGCTGCCGGAGTCCGTTTAGGGTTTAGGGTTTAGGGTTTAGGGTTTAGGGTTTAGGGTTTAGGGTTTAGGGTTTAGGGTTTAGGGTTTAATCCGAGCTTCTGATTAGTGGGTGGGGGGCCCCCCCCCCCCCCCTCACAATAAGGAATGCAGGGTTCCGCAATAGTTGGACCGTGGCCCTGTATTGATTCTCTATTAAAAACAATAGGCTGCAGATCCCTGAGGCAAGCAAAACAAGAAGCCTGCCGACAGATTTTTGAACCCCCCCAAAACAAATTCCTTTAAATGTGGGGGGTTTGTCCCATACGAAATCCACCCTAATGGAAAGTAGTCTTCTGGCGGGCTTCCGGCCAAAAAAAATTTCTTTAAATGTGGGGGTATTAATTAATCAGATGCTCGGATTAAGGTTTAGGCATTCCTGGTTTGTTCGTCAGGGGCCCTAAATCCTAAAAGGCCCTAAACCCTAAACCCTAAACCCAATATACCCTGAACCTTTTTAACCCCTCTGATGCCCCAGAAGCCCAAGCCCCTAAACTCGAAAGCACTCAACCCAGCCGGGGTTGAGGGTTTAGGGTTTAGGGTTTAGGGTTTAGGGTTTAGGGTTTGGTGTTTCGGGCTAGAAACCCTCAACCCTGAACCCTAAACGCCCGCCCTGAAGCACGAAAGGGCGGGCGCGCCGTAAAGGTCGTACGGTGAGCAACTTCCCCCTGTGGGGCCTTAGCGAAGACGTCGGTTTAGGGTTTAGGGTTTAGGGTTTAGGGTTTAGGGTTTAGGGTTTAGGGTTTAGGGCTCAAAGATAAGTGTTTGGGTTGTGCAGCTTGGGATGTAGGGTTTATTTTTAGGGTTTCAAGTTTAGGGTGTATGGTTTGTAAGGTCTTCTGGGAGCGTTGCGGGTGCAGGAAACCTGAGATCCCTTCAAGTAGTGGGGTTTGGGATTTGAGGAGTTTGGAGGGGCTGTAGGGACTTCAGGGTTTTTTGGGGTGTTAGGATTTAGGGTTTCGGGGCTTGAGGACTTTAGGGTTGTTAGGGCTTAGGTGTTTGGGACTTCCGGACGCCAGGGTTGAATATGGGTTCAGGGGTTTAGGGGTTTAGGGGTTTTTGGGGTTTTGGGGTTTAGGGTTTTAGGGGTTTAGGGGTTTAGGGGTTTAGGGGTTTAGGGGTTTAGGGGTTCAGGGGTTTTGAGGGTTCAGGGTTCAGGTCGTAGTCTGTGGGGGTCCGGTCCTGGAAGGTTCGGCTTTCGGAGTTTCGGGGCTTCGGGACTTTGAGGTGACGTTCGCGGGCATCCTGGGTCTTTTTGAATGGCCAAGATAGGCTTGTCGGGCCCTAAACCCTAAACCCTAAACCCTAAACCCTAAACCCTAAACCCTAAACCCTAAACCCTAAACCCTAAACCCTACACCCTAAACCCTAAACCCTAAGCCAGAGTCGACTCTAGGGCTGGAAAAAAAAGCACCAGACCTCTGAACCTCCAGGTTTAGGGTTTAGGGTTCAGGGTCCCAACCACAAATCCAAATCCAAACACCTCAACTTTGACAATCAAGACTCCAAAGTACGTACAGGGCTCTTAAAGAGAGAGGAACCTAGGGAACCTTCGGGAAGCCTGGGGGCCTAAGGGAGTGGTGGGGAGTATTCGGGAACCCTAAGCCCTAAGCCCTAAACCCGAAACCCCAAACCCCAGAGCCCTAAATCCTAAACCCTAAACCCTAAGCCCTAAGCCCTAAACTCGAAACCCTAAACCCCAGAGCCCTAAACCCCCCCTGGAACCCCAAGTTCTCTACGTGAAGAGTTCTTGGGGAGTCGAAATCTCCTACACCCTAAACCCTAAACCTTAAAACCCTAAACCTCCTAAACCCCCTAAGCCCTAAACTCTAAAACGTAAACCCTTAACCTTAAACCCCCTAAACCCCTAAACCTCAGAAACCCTAAACGCTCAAACCTAAACCCTTAACCTTAAACCTTCTAAGCCTCCTCAATTTAAACCTCCGAAACCTGCTCACGAACCTCCTTAACTTCCCAAAGACCCTGGTCCCTACACCCTAAACCTGAAAGCCTCCCAAACCCTCCTCACCCTGAACCCTAAAAAACCCAAAACCCAAAACCCTCAACCCCAAACCCAAACCCGAATCTCCAGGCTTTTCTTCACCTCGCAATCAATTGCTTCTCCAGCTCGCACCTGGGCAGTCGGATTCTGTCGAAACCCTATACCCTAAACCCTAAACCCTAAGCCCTAAGCCCTAAGCCCTATGCCCTAACCGCCCTAACCCCTACACCCGAAATCCTAAACCCTAATTAATCCTAAACCCTAAACCCTAGATCCTAAGCCCTAAATCCTACTTAAAGCTTTCGGGCCTAGAGTTCAGGGAGCCATGTGGTTCATGAATATAGGTTGGGATGTTCCCCCTTAGACTACCAGGGTTTAGGGTTTAGGGTTTAGGGTTTAGGGTTTAGGGTTGGGATGTTCCCCCTTATACTAACAGTCCTCAATGGGTATTTTAGTATCCCCTATTATAATCCCTATTACCCCCAGAGAGAATCTCCGAAGGCACCAAAAGCCGACAAAAACCCTAAACCCCATAAGCCTGAAAGCCTGAACTCTGAACCCTAAACCCTAAGCCCCCCCGAGCCCTGCTAAACCCTATGCGGGCTTAGGGGTTATAGGTTGGCGTAGAGTTTAGGGGGTAGGGGTTGGCGGGGTCTAGGTGCCACTAAAGCCCCTAAAGACCCTAAACCCTAAAGCAGCCAAAGACCCTTTAAGGGGCATTCCTATACAGCTCTCGACCCCGTCTGTGCTTAAGTTCGGAAAAGACCTGGAGCGGGTTTTAGCCCAGTTTTAGGGCTTTGCGGCGGACTTTGGGGTTTAACCCTAAGCCATAGACCCTAAACCCTAAACCGAAAACAGCGCGCCAAGCAAGCTAGCACCCTTGTGAACCTAGGGTTGAGGGTGCCTACCCCCTCCCGAACACCCCCACAGCCCTAACACTGAAGGTGTGGTGGAACAGGTTTGGACCACAAAGCCAGAACACTCCAAACCCCAAAAAAACCTACAGAACCCTACTAGACCCTAGTCAAACCCTAAACCCTAAACCCTAAACCTTAAACCCTAAACCCTAAAGCGCCCCAGGCCTTGCTCAGGAGGAGGGAGGTGGAAGGTCACGCGGCGGCGGATCGCAGGGAGTTGGGTGCATGACCAAGAAGATCTTGCTCTCGTTCCTGGGTTTAGGGTTTGGGGTTTAGGGTTAAGGGCTTAGGGCTCAGGGCTTAGGGTTTAGGGTCTACTGGTAGGCTTCGGAGTTTGGGGTTGGGGTTTCGGATTAGGGTTTGGGGTTTCGGGTTTGGTAATTATTCGGCTTTGGTATTCGGCTATCCGGCTTCACTATATCTTTAAGCAGAACATTTAAGCAAGTAAGCGACTCACACAAGCCCCTCTCTTCCCTCCTCCCTCTTGCCCTTTCTCTCTTCCTCCTTTCTCTGATTCCTCTCTTGCTTCTTGTCATATTCTCTTTCATACTGCCTGTCCAAGTAGTATTCTCTTCAAAACGGGGGGCATGTGAGGGGGGAGTGGGTGGGGGGGGTTGGGGGTACACAGAACAAAACAGGGTCCGACATTTATGGAGATTTGGTTTTCAGGGACAGGATCAAGAACCCCCAGCTGAGTTGCTGAATGTTGGTGTTTGACAGGATCTGCTCATCCTTGAGGTCGTTCATTTCAAAGCAAAGGACGTACTTGTCAGGCGTGATGTCCTCCTTTTCTTGGATCTTTGCCTTCACGTCCTTGATGCTGTCGCTTGAATCGACATCGAGGGTGAACGTCTTCCTATTCACATTGATCTCGACCACAATCTGCATGCCGCCGCGTATTTAAATAGGGGGTTTCCGAAATTCGGGGCACCTTTTTGGGATCCTTGGTCCCCTATTTTCGTAAACCCCAAATGGGAAAACTTGAGAAGCACCTGGACACTCTCCTCTCTAACTGACTTGAGCCATGTGCAAGGGACAAGCGGGGCCCTGATTCTTTGGATAGAAGATTAGACAACTAGACCCAGGAGCAACCTAGGAATAACAAGGGTGCCCTTTTTGGTTTTAGAGGGGTGTATATGAGAACCCAAGCCCTGAAACAAAGCAATAAAGGCCTACTCTGGGTCGTGGACAACAAAGGATCAGCGCACCAGTTTGCGCATCTGCCCAAGCAAGTCTCTTAACAATCAGATCCTGGAATGCAGATAGCGGGGGCGTTCAGGTTTAGGAGAAGCGTTGGGGCCTTAGCTTTTCACCACACAGCTCTGTGCGCAGTGTGTCTGCCATCGCAGCTACATCAACCCGGCGCATCGTGTGATGAAATTCGCCTGGCGCAGGGGAAGCCTTCAACCCCCCTACAGCCAAAAGTGCCTTAAATCCCACTCTAAACCCTAAACCGTAAACCCTAAACCCGAAGCCCCTCGTTGCCTGAAAATACCGGAGATGCAGGCTACGGCATCCTCGGTGCGTCGTGGCGTTGGGGAAGTAGCGCGTGGCGACAAGGAGCTGGCGGGTTTCGGGTTTCGAGTTTAGGGTTTAGGGTTTAGGGTTTAGGGACTTTGGAAGTCTTGTGGCACCCCGAGCCTGAACGCGTAAAGCCTCAACACCCCTGAAACCCCTAAACTCCTGACTCCTAAGTCCCCACTCTGTAGACCCTAACCCCTAACCCTAAACCCTAAACCCTTTCGAGTCATAAAGACGCAGACTGTTGTGGAACAAGTGGGGGGGTGTAAAGCCATAACGCCCTCAACCGCCTAAGTCTAGGACGAACCTAAACCCGAGATGGTGCATGGTTTAGGGGTTCGGGTTTAGGGCTTAGGGTTTAGGGTTTAGGGTTTAGAGTTTTTCGGGTTTAGGGACTCTATGGGACTCTAAACCCTCTGGGCCTTGCCAAATCTCAGGAACAAGGAGGCGGAACGCCACAGGGTGGCGGATTGGGGCCCGTCAGGCCCGTAGGGTGCATGACCAAGGAAATCTTGGTGTTGTTCCTGCCGTTTAAGCTTCGTTCAGGGTTTAGGGTTTAGGGTAATTTGGTAGCCCACTAACCATATTATGATCAGGGCACCCTTTTTGGGGTTGGTTAAGTTGAACAAAAAAAGGGAAAAGGGTACCACTAGCTGGGCACCAAGTAAGGGTTTGCTGGTAGGGTTCGATCAGGGCCCGTAGGACTTAGAGATCTGTGTGAAGCCTTGGGGCTTTCTTACCCTAAACCCTAAACTCTAAACCCTAAACCCCAAACCCTCTTTGGAGGAGGTGGAAAATGTGCAGATTCAAGCACGGTAGCCGAGCGGCCAAATCTTGGTGTCTGAGAGGACCTGACCATCCTTCAGTTCCTTCATGTCCTGGGTAGCCCAGTACCCAGGTTGCAATAAGGGGGGTTTAGAGTTTCGGGTTTAGGGTTTAGGGTTTATGGGCTACTTTAAACGGGAACCTTGAACCAATAAAAAGGGAAAAAAAGGGTACCACACACAGCCCACCAAGTGTCAAAGGAAAGGGAGTACTTGTCAGGGGTGAGCTTCTCCTGCTCTTGGATCTTTGCCTTCACGTCTTTGATGCTGTCACTTGCCTCGACCTTGAGGTTAAATTTCTTCTTGCCCACATTCGGCTCGACCACGATGTGCATGTCGCTCGCGCAACAGTGGATCTTATATGGCACTTGCGGGGGAAGGTCGTAGAACAAAGGCAGCTGGTGACGGCCTGGGCACTCTGCTCCCTTGCTTGAGCAATTCAGCAATTCAGCAAGCCACGCAGAGTCAGCATAGAAGACCCATCTACTAGTCAGTGCTCAACAAAGCGGATTCTGGGACGCCCAGTTGCCAAAGGGGGTCCTTTGCTTTTTAGGTGGAGGGGTGGGTGGAGGGGTTGGGGCTTTGGGGCACTTCTGCACCTACGGGTCTGGATCTGGGCTGCAGGGGACTTAGGGCTCAGGGTTTCGGATTCGGGTTTAGGGTCTTAGGGTTTAGGATTTTAGGCTTCCTGAAGTTGGGCGTCTGTTTAGTGAAAGCCCTATAGACACTGAATCCCCTAAAGCCTCTGAAACCCCCTTAAACCTCCCCAAACCGTCTAAACCCTAAACCCTAAACCCCAAACCCCAAACCCTAAACCCTAAACTCCCCAACCCTAAATCTCGGCGCGGTCAAAACTGTCCCCACGGCTTGCCCCAAGAGCGTGGCCGACGACAAAGGCTCGGATGTCCAACTCTTTCAAAGGTACCTGCAGGTTTAGCAGTTGAAGTTTAGGGCTCATAGGGGTTTTAGGGTTTAGGCCTTAAGGGTTTAGGGTTTAGGGTTTATAGGGTTTGGGGTTTAGGGTTTAGGGTTTAGGGTTTAGGGTTTAGGGTTCAGGGTTTAGGGTTTAGGGTTTAGGGTGTGGGGGGGATTGTGGGCTTCAGGGAAGAGGCAACCAAGTGTGTAGGGTTCAGGGTTTAGAGTCTTGTGGTGTACGGGCGAATCTCTGCCGGCTCCACCCTTCAAGGTCTTGTTGTGTGTTTAGGGTTTAGGGTTTAGGGTTTAGGGTTTAGGACTTAGGGTTAGGGCTTAGGGTGTAGGGTTCTTAAGGGAGGGTTCAAGGTTCCCTAATACTCCCTATTACTCCCGAAGGCTCCCTAAGCTTCCCTAAGGTTCCCTAGGTACCTACCCCCGTTGACCCCCCTCCCGTAAGAGCCCTATAGATTTTTGAGCCCACGCACCCCGGAGGCCTGCAGCCCCCTTCAAGACATCTCGCGAAATCAAGAAGGCTTGCCCTCATGTCAGAGTGTAGAGACGCGGAAGAGTTTCCGAACATAGGGGTACCTTCGTGGGGCCCTTTTTTTTGAGGGAATCGTACTATTTGGGGACTATGTGCAAAAAATATTAGGGTCCCTCATTTTCGGAAGCCCCCACGTGGAAGAGTTTCGGTTCAGGGTTCGGGCATCTCTGTTTCTTGTTGGCCGAGAGGGGGGCAGGCTGCTGCTCGACTGCTGAGGTTTGGGGTTTAGGGCCTTTTTGGGATAACTCCCCCCCCCCCTCCCGCCCTCCCCCCCAACAAAAGCTCTTGCAGATGAATGTTGACTCTCCGCCCAACATGCCAAGCAGCAAACAAAGTACAAAGCTCCCAAACCCTAAACCCTAAACCTCTTCTCAGCCACCCCCCCCCAACCCTAAACCCCAAAACCCTAACCCCAAGCCGAAAACCTTTCGACCTCAAGACTCAACAAAGCACACCTGCACGGGCGTGGAGATCTTTTCAAAGTGATCTCCGCTGAAGTGAAACCTATGGCACCCATGCGGTTTCGGGCTGAAGGGTTAAGGGTTTAGGGTTTGGGGTTCAGGGTTTAGGGTTTAGGGTTGAGGGGGGGAAGAGGTCCCGCTTTCCACAAACTGGGGTTCGAGTACTGTGGGTCTCGAAACAATGGGGTCACGGGTTTAGGGTTTTGGTACCCCTCCCCGCCACTAAATGGAATTGCAATAGTAGAGGGTTAGAGTCTAGAGGTTATCCAAAAACACAACAACTCGAAGCTGCTTCGGCTTTTAGGTTTACAGTCTAAGCCCTTAAACCCTTAAATATTTAAACTCTAAAACCCTCAAACCCTTAGACCCTTAGACGCTTAGACCCTTAAACCCTTAAACCGGTTCGGCCCTCCTTCTTACGATGTGGCTTGCTGAGCACTTGCGAGGATCACAGTTTTTTGGACACTGGCACCTGTTGAGGATTTGATGCTGCTCTTATGCTAGACCCAAGAGTAGCCTTGGAATAGCACGCGGCAACTTTTTGAGCTTAAAGGGGGCCAAATCCCTAAAAGTAAGGGAATAAGGGCACACCCTTTGTCCTAGCCCTAAACCCTAAACCCTAAACCCTAAACCCTCAACCCTAAACCCTAAACCCTACACCCTAAACCCTAAACCCTAAACCCTGAACCCTAAACCCTGAACCCTAAACCCTAAACCCTAAACCCCAGAAGGGAAAAGGGGCCTACGTTGGGTTAAGGTTTGTAGGTTGTTTTCGAGGAAATCCTCGCTTCCAAGCAGGGGGGGGGAGGGGTCTGCTCAGGCTTAGGGCCTTAGGGCGGCCTTAGGGCCGTTTAGGGTTTAGGGTTTAGGGTTTAGGGTTTAGCGTTTAGGATTTAGGGTTTAGGGTTCACGGCGCTCACCTTCCTGAACATGTCTCCTGGGGGTTTAGTGTCGAGGCGTGTCGGGCACTGAGTTTTTGGGACTCTGTCTGTAGATGGTGAGGCACTGGCTTTCGGGATCAAGAACTCTGAGCACCCTAAACCCGAAACCCTAAACTCTAAACCCCCAAACCCTAAACGAACCCACACCCTACGACATGTAAAGCCTACAAACCCTAAACCTATCATTAGGGCCATGTCGGCTTATAGGGAGAAAGATTCGGAAGTCCGGAATTCTCCCGCCTTTTGATGTGCAAGACGAGAACGTCGGGCTCTCGCCAAATGTCCTCAGCTTGCCAAAGTGCTTTGCGGCTTGATTGCGCTCAGAAGCAACTCGGGTAAAGAACTCCGAGAGAAAAGTCCACAGCCTACATAGACGCCCAGCTGGTTGAAGGTTTGGGTTTAGGGTGTAGCATTTAGGGCTTTCATTTAATCCGACAGGGAAGCACCACCCCCCCCCCCCCCCCCCAACACAAGTAACAGCGTGCCTTTCAACCCAAACTTTTGAAAATTTGATAGCAAACAAACTACGCTGAACCCCAAGCCGTAGACCCTCTATTGTCCCGGAAAGGCAAAGACAAACTGTCGAAGACCAGTGGCGATCTTCTTTTGCGCGTCCACCGCGATGTTGCTCTTGCCTCAAATGATATCTCTGACGCAGCTGGAAACCCTAAACCCTAAACCCTAAACCCTAAACCCTAAACCCTAAACCCTAAACCCTAAACCCTAACAGGGTGCAGGGGTTTAGGGCTACGGGGCTTAGGGTCTCTGTGTCCTGGAGCTCTAAGATTCAGTTTTGTGTTGTGGTGGTACGTGATTTTAGGGTTGATGCTTTGGGAGGTCTAGGGGTTCAGGGTTGCACTTGGGGTTAAGGGCAGAGGGCTTCGGGCTCATCAGAAATCTCGGCATCTGGTAAAGCCCGCAAGGTCTTGGGCCTAAGGGAGGCTCGCAGTTTGGGGAGGGCTTAGGGTTTAGGGTTTAGGTTTAGGGTTGAGGGTTTAGGGTTGTTTAGGGTTTAGGGTTTAGGGTTTAGGGTTTAGGGTTTAGGGTTTAGGGATTAGGGTTTAGGGTTTTTGCTTCACGGTTGAGGGTTTAGGGTTTCAGGTTAGGCTTCAGACGATTTAGGGAGTGATCTTAGGGAGACTTCAGTTGCAGGGGAGAAAAGCTGACGCTCTAAACCCTAAACCCTAAACCCTAAACCCTAAACCCTAAACCCTAAGCCCTAAACCCTAAACCCTAAACCCTAAACCGCTCTAACACCCGACAGACTCAACCCTAAATTCCCCCCAAAAGTTTACGGCACGGAAACCTGAACTTTTCATGAGCTTTGTGACCCTGAACCATGTAAACTTGTAAACCCTGTAGATCCTGTACACCCTGCAACGGCTCAGCAGCAATCAATCCCGCAGAGCCCTAAAGCCTAAACCCCAAACCCCCTGAAAGCCCTCAACCCTAAAACCCTAAACCCTAAACCCCAAACCCCAAACCCTAAACCCTAAACCCCAAACCCTAAACCCTGAATCCAAAACCCTAAACCCTAAGCCCTTTTTCAACCTGTAACGCGTTCAGGCCCCGGCATTGGTCGCACTTGACGCCGTTGTCGCCCTCGGCCTGCAGCACGCCCGACACAATTAGGGTTGAGGGTTTATAGGGTGTATAGGGTTTATAGGGTTTATGGGGTTTATGGGGTTTATAGGGTTTATAGGGTTTATAGGGTTTATAGGGTTTACAGGGTTTTTAGGGTTTAGGGTTTGGGGTTTAGGGTTTGGGGTTTAGGGGTTTCACTAGCCCGGACCCTATAAACCCTGTAATTAAGACCTGCAAACCGCATAAACTCTACAAACCTTGTAAACCCTATACTGCAAACCCCATAGACACTACAACCTTATAAACCCTATAAACCCCTGCAAAACCATAACACCGTACGAAACCTAGAATCTACCCCTGTAAACACCATAAACCCTGTAAACCCTATGACCCCCGCAATGCCTGTAACCCCTGTAAACATAGGTATGTTCCCCCTTACAACAGTCCTTAATCGGGATTAGAGTACCCCCGATTATAAGGACTCACATCCCGATTCAGGACTGTTAGTCTAAGGGGGGGGAAACATCCCAAGCAACCCTAAACCCTAAACCCTAAACCCTCAACCCTAAACCCTGTAAATCCCTGTAAATCCCTGCAAACCCTAATCCTATAATAAGAAATTTGGGGGGGTGCAGCATGCTGTCTGTCTGAGGTCCCTGAGCCCACGAACTTGGTTTAGGGTTTAGGGCTTAGGGTTCAGGGTTTAGGGTTTAGGGTGAAGGGTTCAGGGTTTAGGGTTTAGGGGTTTAAGGGTTTTAGGCTTTAAGGGTTTAGGGTTTATGGCAATATCCCTACACTGCACCTTTTGGTGCTCAAGCAGCCGTTTGCTCTGTTTGGTCGGTTGCCCTTTTCTCTATCCTTTGGACACCTCATCGAGCGACTCCCGAATCCTCCGTCCCTAAACCCCGAACCCTACTCGCAGTTCAGGGTTTAGGGTTTAGGGCTTAGGGTTTAGGGCCCAAACTACCCTAAACAGTCATCCCTAAGCCCGAAGCCCTAAACCCTAGGCCCCAGACCCCCAAGCCCTGAAACCCTGAACCCCTGAACCCCCCTGTTTTGCCAAAGCCTTCATCTCCTCCGCAGCCACGAAGGCATTGATGCAGGAGGCCAGCGGGACAGTCTGGCGTTGGGTTTAGGGTTTAGGGTTTAGGGTTTAGGGTTTAGGGTTTAGGGTTTAGGGTTTAGGGTTTAGGGTTTAGGGTTTAGGGTTTAGGGTTTAGGGTTTAGGGTTTAGGGTTTAGGGTTAGGGTTCAGGGTTCAGGGTTCAGGGTTCAGGGTTCAGGGTTTAGGGTTTATATAGGGCTTAGGGCTTAGGGTGATCCAGGATTAACCTAGGAATACAAAGGGTACCCTTTTTGGTTTAAAGGGGTTTATAAGGAAACCTAAACCCCAAAAAAGGGAATAAGGCCCTACTCCGGGTCCTAGCAGAGATTCCCCCCTTGGGGGGGGGGGGGGGGTGTAATACGGAGCCTATTGCATTTCAATGTAGAGGCCCGCCCAGGTTCTAGGGCCCTGCTTCCTCTAATGGTGTACAATGGGTGCAGAACACTAAGACCTAAACCCTAAACCCTAAACCCTAAACCCCTTAAACCCCTGAACCCTAAAACCCTAAAGCACTAAACCGCAAGGAGATTTAAAGGTCGCAAGACCATCGAGGGACTAAAGGAGGGACCCTTATAAGGGACCTTCGGGCTTATTTAGGGGTTATTTAGGGGCTACTGAGGCATCTAGGGGCTATGCAAGGTATAAAACCCTAAACCCCTAAACCCCTAAACCCTAAACCTAAACCTAAACCCTAAACCCTAAACCCTAAATGACCCTAAATGACCCTAAATGACCCTAAATGACCCTAAATGACCCTAACCCTAAACCCCTAAACCCCTAAACCCCTAAAACCTGAACCCTAAAGACTACGGGTCCCTCCTAGGGGTCCATCCTGTATTCCCCTCAACACCAGGAGCCCGGGCGTCCGTGTCCGTCTCCTCACCAGCTGCCTGCAACGACTGCGGGCAGGGACTATCTAGCTTGCCCTCTTGAAGCCCTAAACCCTAAACCCTAAACCTTAAACCCTAAACCCGAAGGACTTTTTCCCAATGTAGGGGTATACTGAACCCTGAACCCTACACCGCACCACAGCCCTCATTGTGGGAACCCCCGCCCTCCCAACCTTAAGCCCTAAACTAAACCCCAAACCCTAAACCCTAAGCCCCACCCTCCCCCCCCCCTCCCCCCCCGGCAGAAAAAGGGGGGCTCCCCCTACTTTGAGAAACCTGAATGTCACGGTAACCTAAGCACCTTTTAACTCCGATTTAGGGTTTTGGGGTTTTGGGATACTTAGACGCCAGCAGGTACTGAACAGCAACACAACGTTTCCCGATCTTTTTCAAGGCCCTAAACCCTAAACCCTAAACCCGCAACAAAGTGCTGTAAACAGGGTCCCTAGGAGTTGCCTCAGCACTCTGCTCCTCCTTCATGGATTCGACATAGGCCTGACGCCACGAAAGATGCATGCAAAGGAGGGGTGGGGTTTAGGGTTTAGGGTTTAGAGTTTAGGGTTAGGGGTTTAGGGTTTAAGGTTTAGGGCGCAGGGCCAACCATAAAAACAATCACCCCCCCCCCCCCCCCCCCCACAAAAAAAAAAAAAAAAACAGTAACTACCAAAGGCCTGGCAAGAACCCTCTACACCCTGTGAACCTTATAAACCTAAGAAACGCCATACACCCCCGTAAACCCCCCATAAACCCTATAAATCCTATAAAACCCTATAAAACCCTTTAAAACCCTCTAAAACCCTATAAAACCATATAAAACCCCATAAACCCTATCAACCCAGTAAACCCTCAAACACCCAAAGCCCTTCGACATCCCGAGGCCATGGTTCTGGGCTTCCTTAAGGGTTTTTTTGGATGTTTTAGGAGTTTGTTTAGGGTTTTGGGGGGCTTCAGTAGGGCTGTATTAGGTGTTTTAGGGTCTTTGTTATGGCTTCTAGGGTTCTAAGGGGTTGAGGTTTTTAGGGGGGTTTAGGTGTTCGCATATTGCTGGGACCCTCTTCGCCTGCAGTTTTGTGGGTTATGCCTACTAATTAAAGGTAGTTACTACTAAACTGCAGGTAGACAGAGCCAGGTTTTGTTTAGGGGCTTATTCCCTTCCTCCTTTTATTCAACCCCCCCCCCCAATAGAAACTCGAAATGCGTTTTTTGGGGGGATGTTCTTGGGATGTTTTATCCAAATGTCATGTTTTGGGTTCAAAGGGTTTAGGGTCTAGGCTTCAGGGTATGGAGGGTTGAAGTACTTTTTACCCACCCCCGAATTCGAAATAGGTTTCAAATTGTGGGGGTGATTTCGGGAGGATTTTCCGGAAAGTGTTCGTACTTACTACAAGGGGGAAGGAATTAGGGTGTTCCCGTCGCCTGGTCGTATCTTGATGACTCCATCCAGTCGAGCCTCAGTGAAGACCCCCAGCGAACCCTATAGCCACGGTACCCTTTGGGAACAGGAGGAAAGCCCTGAACCCTAAACCTTAAACCCTCACTAAACCCAAAACCCCAAAACCCAAACGCAAGAAACCTCCAATCCCAGCCAACTTCTTCATAAGCCCCAAAAGCCGTAAGGACGCTGAAAAAACCCTAAAACCCGGAAGGACCCCAAATCCTAAAAGCCCTCACCCTGAAAACCCTTAATTCCCAAGACCCTAACGACACACTGAGACATCTCGCGGAAGAAGGACTTTGTGGAGGCCTTGTGCCCCCAAACCCCAAACCCTATATAAACCCTAAACCCCAAACCCCAAACCCCAAACCCCAAACCCCAAACCCCAAACCCCAAACCCTAAACCCTAAACCCTAAACCCTAAACTCTAAACCCTGCCCTTGCGGGAAGTCAGGGTCTTTGGGATGAAGCGTTTGGCGTGACACCAGAGTCGGTCAGGTTGCTGAGTCCCTGCCACAGCTTTCTTTCCAGACACTTAGGGTTTAGGGTTTAGGGTTTAGGGTCTAGGGTTTAGGGTTTAGGGTTTAGGGTTTAGGGCCTGGTGAGTGGTGAAGCGCTTGTGCCGGCGTCGCACTTGCGGACGGGTATGCATGCCTTAGCACCGTCGGAGTGCACGCTGCCAGGGTCCACAATCTCCAGAATGCCGGATTCCTGCCACCGGGGGGGGGGGGGGGGGGGGGGGCTTAGGGTTTAGGGTTTGGGGTTTAGTTTAGGGCTTAGAAGGCTGAATCTCAAGAGACGAATGCTTGCTGAGGGTTGTCGAGCTGTATGCTGCTGGGTTGTGGAAGTGCAGGCTCAACCCCCCGAAATCCTTGAAAGCATACGTTTGAACATGGCCTAAGCACATCACCCTCAAGCCGAAGCCTGTGAAAGGACGGAAGTGTCGGAAATGAATCACAGCCCCTCCGCCCAAGAAGAGCGTTTTAGCAGGAGACGAAAACAACCCTAAACCCTAAACCTAAACCCTAAGCCCTAAACCCTAAACCCCTGGGCTCTTGGGCGCAAGGTAGATCTTCGCCGTGCCCGCGGCGCCTGTGAAGAGGCCGGCCTGGGGCGAGATCCGGGGTTCGGGGCTTATAGGGTTTAGGGTTTAGGGTTCAGGGGTGTAGGGTTTAGGGTTTATGGTTTAGGGTTGAAGGGCTAAAGGGTATAGGGTTGAAGGGTGTAGGGTTTAGGGTTTAAGGTTGAAGGGTCAAAGGGTATGGGGTGTAGGGGTTGAAGGGTGTAGGGTTTAGAGGTTGAAGGGTTTACGGTTGAAGGGTTTAGGGTTCAGGGGTTGAAGGGCTGAGGTTTTAGGGGGTTTAGAACCCTCGATCCTGGGCCAATCGGCTTCTTAGGGTTCTCAGGATTTAGGGTTTAGGGTTTAGGGCTTAGGGTTTAGGGACCTCTTGGGTTTTTTTTTTGGGCTTTTGGGCTTATCCTACCGACTGACATTAGCCCCTTCAGCAAAACACCCCCAAAAAACCCAAAGCCTGAGTGCAGCAGGGTTTCGGGTTTAGGTTTAGGGTTTAGTTTCAACCACCCGTCCTCACATATATGGAGCTTTTTCCAGAAAGGGTGGAGCCTATGGGGGGCATCTAGAAGAAGTACATTTTGGAGCGTTTTTAGGCGTACCCTGACTGTTGAAAATGCCCATCTGTATGGCCAGGAGTCTGTAAAACTCTCGAATCCTCAATCCAAAATCCTACCTGCAGTGCCGAAAGTTTCCCTGTATCTCGGGTTGAAGGGTTTAGGGGTTGAAGGGTTTAGGTTTTCAATGGCTTTAGATTTTACGGCTCAGGTTTGGAGGTTTGGATTTGGAGGTTGGGTTTCGGGATATGTTTGGTTGGATGGCTGGTTGGTTGGGGCAGGGGGCCACCCTCAACCCTGAAATAACCCTCAAACACTGAAGCCCTCAAACCCCCAAAACACTCTCAAAACCCCCGCTAACGCACGAACCCCAACCAACCCCAAATCCTAAACCCTGAACCCCACACCCCCCCAACCCCCAAAAAAACCCAAACCCCCAAACCCCAAATCCCTAAACCCTAAACCCTAAACCCTAAACCCTAAACCCTAAACCCCAAACCCTAAACCCTAAACCCTAAACCCTAAACCCCAAGCCCTAAACCCTAAACCCTAAACCCTAAACCCTAAACCCCAAGCCCCAAACCCCAAATCCCTAAACCCTAAACCCCAAACCCTAAACCCTAAACCCTAAACCCTAAACCCTAAACCCTAAACCCTAAGACCCAGGATCCCGACCCGCAGGCGCAACCGCGCGTTGCCCTTTGGCAGCAGGCAGCCTTCACGTGTAGGGTTTAGGGTTTAGGGTTTAGGGTTTAGGGTTTAGGGTTTAGGGTTTAGGGTTTAGGGTTTAGGGTTTAGGGTGTAGGATTTAGGGTTTAGGGGCTTTAGGGGGGTTTAGCGGGCTTTCGGCGAATTAGGGGGTCTAGGGGTTTAGGGGTTTAGGGTTTAGGGTTTAGGGTGTAGGGTTGGAGGGGCCAAATGGGGGCTTTGGCGTAGGCAAGCTCCAAAGACTACACGGTCTGCACGTAGAAGGATACACCAAAAAACCCCAGAGCGTCCCGGAAATCCTCCAACCGCCTAAACCCTAAACCCTAAACCCTAAACCCGATACCCTGAACCCTAAACCCTAAACCCTGAAGCCTAGTCGTTCCCGTGCCTGTACAGTTCCGGCGGTCGCAAGCACCGCAGCCCGTGCCCGAGGCGTTGACGATCCTCGCCACGAAGGGTACCTGCGTGTCTAGAGTTTGAGTAGAGCTGCAGGGCTTCATGTACTCTGGAGCCCAAAAACCTCAGATTGCACCCTAAACCCTAAACCCTAAACCCAAAACCCTAAACCCTAAACCCCTCCTCCACCCGGTTCGGAACCTGGCGCTCCGCAGCCGCGGCTCGCCCCCACTGGGGCGCCAGGAACCTCGCGCCGGGCACGTGCGTTTTTTTGCAGGTTTTTGGGGCTTAGGGTTATAGGGTTTAGGGTTTAGGGTTTACGGCTTAGGGTGTGAGGGTTTGAGGGTTTTTGGGAGGTTAATTAGGGTTCATACTGGGGTTTTAGGGCTCAGGGTTTTAGGGTTCTCGGTTTAGGGTTGATAATCGGGTTTGGGGTGGTTTCAGGGTGTAGGGTTTGGGGTTTACTAAACCCTGCATCCACACTAGCCATAGTTAAGGGACTTCTACTTCTACCCTAAGTTAGGGTCCTCATGAACCTATTTAAGGTCCTTAAACCTCTACGTATAACTAGGGGATTGGGGCCTCTGTATCCCGGCAATTCCTAGAGTACCCTAAACCCTAAACCCTAAACCCTAAACCCTAAACCCTAAAACCCTAAACCGCTTTGGCGGTTGAATTTGGGGCTCTGGGATCGGGATGCATCTCAGCCCTAGCACCGCTGCAAGGGCTCAGGGAAGGCCAGAGGCGCTCAAGGCACAGGTGTAAGATGGTTTAGGGTTGGAGCTTATAGGGTTTAGGGTTTAGGGCTGAGGGCTCAGGGTTTAGGGTTTATTTAAGGTTTAGGGTTTAGGGTTTAGGGTTTAGGGTTCAGGATCTTGCTTCAGGTCTGCTGCCTCAGCTCTAAACTCTGAAGCCCTCTGAGCTTCTTAGCCCAGGCTACATCGAGGGATGCTTGCGACAAAAATCTCACCCAGAACATTACAGGATTCTGAAATGAGGGGTCTTCCTGCAGCCTCATTTAGGGTTTAGGGTTTAGGGCTTCGGGTTTAGGGTTACGGTAGGGTTCTTAAGGGAGGGGGTTCAAGGCGGGGTATGTAACCCAAGGTTCCCTGATTCTCCCTACGACGCACGTCATGCCGCTGTGGCTTGCGCTGCGCACGACCCTCGTGATGATTTGGCCCAAGCTGATGCTGGATTCGGAGTCGACCTCGATGCCACCGTTGACGTAAGTGCCTATAGGTCCATGTCGGCTACATGAAGCCGTGGTTGGTGCGCCAGCAGTGACCAGCGAACGCGTCCCCGTACTGGTCCATGCGTATGTCCTCGGGCTTGCTGAAGTAGGGGTCGATCTTGACTCCGTATTGCCTCTGCCGCTGACGGCGCATCTGCACGTGCGCGTAGCCGCTGATGAACCCGGCGAGGCCGAGGACGCTAACGTTGTAGACCGGGCATGATTTCTTGTAGGCCATGTAGGTGGCGACACAGGATGTGAATATGCCGCTGTGGGTCAACGCCAAGTCCCGCATCTCCTCCAAGTCTGCTCCGCCGTACCACACCCAGTCCCTTAAGGGTCCCTAAGCTTCCCTAAGGTTGTCTGGGTACCTAACCCTAAGCCCTAAACCCTAAACCCTAAATCCCCCATGAACCCCCCGTTGGGCGAGGCAGCATCCACGGCGCACAAAAGTGCAGACTACCCGAACACAGCACACCCTAAGCCCCCAACAAAAAGCCAGAAATCCAAAACCCCTAAACCTCTGTAATTCACCCCAAACCCTAAACCCTAAATCCTAAACCTAAACCCTAAACCCCGAGAGTTAAACCACGATAGCTCCCAGGCCTCGTCGCGTGGACGACCAGCATCTCCTTATGTCAGAAGGGGGTCTAGGCGTAGGGCTTATCTGGGGTTTCTGGTTTAGGGCTTATTCGGGTATAGGGTTAAATGAAAAAGCTGATATAAGCTTAGGGCTTTAGATCGTCTGGGGTTTAGAGCATCTCCTTGCGTTAAGATGAAAGTGCCTAGGGCTTTATGGGTTTATGGTGTAGGGGTTTAGGGGTTGTGGGGTTTTGGAGTTTCGGGCTTAGGGATTGGGGTTTAGGCTTTAGGGCTTCGGGTTTAGGGGGTTTGGGGTTGAGGGTTTAGGGGTCTAGGGATTGGGGTCTGAAGGGGTGGTGTAGAGTTCAGCGGTTCAGGATTTAGGGATTCGAGTTTAAGGCAATAGGGGGTTAGGGCTTGGGGGCTTAGCGGTTTAGCGTGGGGTTTTCCTTCATCTGCACTGCGCACTCTATGCGGCGCGCGCAAGCGTTTACAAACCACAACAGAGGCTTGCAGGCTCCTTATACATCACGTCTCCGTATTGGAGAAGGTGCACGTCATGGCATAGCACGCACTTGTACCATGACGAGCTCGTCCCGTAACAGGAGAGACATAACCATTGGGCGTTCTCCTTGCCTTCCTCCATGAAGACAACGGAAGTAGCCGCCGTCAAGATGCGATTTGCATCCTCCGGCGCGGGCACGATCTCACTGGGTGCTGCCTGCTGCTCTTTGAACGCACCCGTCTCGATCATGTGAAGCATTTTCGTGGCCACCTCAGCACCAGAAGTGTTCAGCCTGTCCCGTTGGCTCTTCTTGATCTGGTCCTCAAGCAATGCATATGTGGTCTTTCACAACAACAAGCACTCATGTTCGCACTCATACTATCCGGCTGCCGTTCATGCGCCCCCCCCCCCCGCCCCCAAATTGAGTGGTGTGGAGTTCAGGGGTTTTAGGGCTTTAGTGTTTGGGCGTGGAAGTTCAGAGGTTTCGGGTTCAGGGGTTTAAGGTGTTTAGGGTGGGTTCGGGTGTGGAATTCAGGGGTTTAAGGTTTAGAAGGCTCAGGGTGCGGAGGTTTGGGGTTTAGGGTTTTGGACTCTAGGTCCAGAGATTTTGGGCTTGGGGTAATCAGAGATTTAGGGTTTCGGAGGTTTAGGCGATTTGGCGGCTTCGAGATTGTGAGCTTTTGGTTTAGAGGCCTAAGGTTTGGAGGTTTAGGCTTTAGAGTGCTTGCCGATGCGGCCGAGCGCGATGAGTGTGTCGGTAGGGGTTTAAACCCTAAACCCTAAACCCTAAACCCTAAACCCTAAACCCTAAACCCTAAACCCTAAACCCTAAACCCTAAACCCTAAACCCTAAACCCTATCTCCTTAAAGCTTCGGGGCTTAGGGTTGGACCTGGTGCACATGGACAGTTGCCTAACTCTTGAACCCTCAACTGCGTTCTAATTTATGCTCCCATTTCAGGGTTTAGGGTTTAGGGTTTAGGGGATGAGTAGCAGTCACTAGGTGGTGTGTGCACGTGTGGCGTGCAAAACACGAACCCCAAAGCGGGGCGCGAATTTGCTGAGGTGGATTGTACCTGGGACTCTCTTTACCTGCAGTTTTTTATGGGTTCTACCTAAGGGGGTAGTTGCTACTAAACTGTAGGGAAATAGAGTCCCAGGTAGTCAAGATCCTAACCCTAAGCCCTAAACCCTAAACCCTAAACCCTATAGGGTCCTGTAGCCCCGAAACTTTTGCAGACATCCCAGGACACATTGAGCGCACTTCGCCCCCAACATCGGAGAATGTTGAAGGTTTAGGGTTTAGGGTTTAGGGTTTAGGATTAAGGGTTTTAGGGTTTCGGGTTTAGGGTTTGGGGTTTAGGGTTTAGGGTTTGTAGGGTTTGTAGGGTTTGTAGGGTTTGTAGGGTTTGTAGGGTTTGTGGGGTTTAGGGTTTAGGGTTTAGGGTAGTTACATGGTCCCTTCGTATGGGCCCTTAAAAAGGTGACCCCTTACATACCCCTATGCAAATTAAGGGCCCATACATCAGAACCCTTTAAAGAAGGTAACAGGCGATAGGAGTCATACAACGAATCAATCCCCAGATCCCGTATAAAGAGGCGTCTCTAAATCAGACCTTTGCATTTCGTCCACCTCGTGGTTCAACAAGAAAGATAGACAGAAGACGGACATTGAGATGACTTCTGGATTCGTTTTAAAGAGCTCCGGGATAATTCTTGCTTGCAAGAAGGAAAAGAGGAAGAATATATCGAACTTGCCCTTTTCCTGGCATCGCTCGCTGGCAACTTAGATTCACGCGCACTCACTCGTGTTTTACAACGTAGACGTGCAAGTTTCAAACCCTGAAGCCTAACTGCCCTAAACCCTAAACCCTAAACCCCAAACCCTAAACCCTAAACCCTAAACCCTGATAAGCTTCAGAACCCCAAAAGACGAAGACAAGACAAGCCGGTTGCTCAAACAGATCAAAGGCTGAGAGCCCCGGCGTGCAGCGTGGCGTAAGTCCAAGACGAAGCCGCACCTGAAGGTGAGCTCTTCTGGCAGAAACTTAGGGTTTAGGGTTTAGCGTTTAGGGTTTAGGGCTAGGGTTTCGGGTTCAGGTTGAGGGCACCATGGTGTAGGGTAAGGACTCCGGGTGTGTTTTTAATTGCTATGGATTCTGCTGGAGAGTGCTACCTGAACCAATGAAGTGAATCAACCTTGACCTAAGCCCTTCCAATAATGTCTGCGTTCTGCTTTGGAGCTCCGGTTGTAACATTCGATGCTTGCCGGGGTCCTGCAATGCTCTTGCTTGCGGGGTCTTAGACATGTGGGTTATGTTGTTGTTCGTACTCTTGCCCTTGTTCGCAAGACCGCGGACAGCAAAAGCTAGCAGTGCGCGCATTGGCTCGCAGAGATTGTGATTTTCTGGTCCTTGAACAGGCTCTTGGCAGCTCTGCTGCGTGATCTGCCGAGGCCGCGTCCTCCTTGAACTAGGCCCTAGACACTCAATCCCTACTTGACACAACCCCCCAAACCCACAGCCCCTAAACCCCCAAACCCCAAACCCCAGACCCCCAAACCGACAGAGGAAACACAAAAGGGTTTTGGCTACAGCCTGTCCAAACGAAAACGCTCCTACTTCTGAGGGCGGCCGGCGACCCTGCTTCCGAGGGTGACGGGGAAACCCGAAGCCCTAAACCCTAAGCCCTAAACCCTTTCCCCTAGACCCTAAACCCTAAACCTAAAGCAACAACCTCCGCCCACCACCTCCTGAAGCCGGAGAGGCGCGAAGGGGCCCGAAAGACTTGGGGCTTGCCTCCCCCCACACCCCCAAACCCCAAACCCGAAAGCCCTGAAATTTGGAAACGCTAAACCCGGAAACCTAAACGCCAAACCCCAAACCCTAACCCTGAACCCTAAATTCTAAGCCCCTGAGTGCCAAACCCAAAATCCCTGAGACGTACACCTCAAAAACCCCCAGTCCCTACACCTTGTACCTACAAATGCACAAAGCCCTAAACAGCCCACATCACGAAAACCTAAACGCCCAGACCTTAAGTCGCGGTAACCCCGAACCCCAAACCCCTAACCCCTAAGCTTTATAAGCGTCAACCCTAAACCTGAACCCTGAACCCTAAACACTACACCCTAAACCCAAACCCTAAACCCATAGACCAGAGCTACGCCCGGGCTCCCAGGCTCATGACGAAGGGCAGCCCAAAGACCTGTCTCTCTTCGGTCCGGATGAGTGGGTTTAGGGTTTCCGGTTTCGGGTTTACGCTTAGGGGTGGGTTGGCGTAAAGTTTAGGGTTTAGGGTTTAAGCTTTAGGGTTTAGGCTTAGGGGTTGGCGTACGGTTCAGGGTTTAGGATTTTGGGTTCAGGGTTTCAGGAATGGCTTAGGGCTTCGGGTTTGTGGTTTGAGGGGCTTTGGGGTTGAGGGTCGGTAGGAACTCTGGGGGCCAGGGGCTTTTGGGCCTCAAGGGGCGACGGAGGAGTGGCCTAGGGGTTATGCTTTGGGGCTTAAGTTTGGTGTAGGGTTTAGGGTTTAAGGTTTAGGGCTTGCCTGAGACTCTATTTTTACCTACAGTTGAGTAGTGACTACCCTTAAGTAGTAGGGATAACCCATAAACCTGTAGGCAAAGAGGGTCCCACCCTAAACCCTAAACCCCAAACACCAAACCCTAAACCCTAAACCCTAGCCCCAAAGGCCAACCCGCGCCTCCCGTCGCTGCGACCAGGTCCGGCCGTCGGAGCGGCACACGTCCACCACCCGCCGGTGCATGGCCTGCCAGCTTGCTGTAGGGGGGGGGGGGGGGGGGGGGGGGGTCGTTTTGAGAGGGTTGAGGGTTTAGGGCTTAGGGTTTAGGGTTGAGGGTTTAGGTGAGGGTTGAGGGTTGCGGGTTGAGGGTTTCAAGGGTTTGGGTCTCAGGGCTTGGTTAGGGTTTCGGATCACCAGGGACCTTGGAATGACAAAGTAACGGAAAGGGAACCCTTAAGGTTCATTCATGATGCCCGCAACCCTGAGGAACGCCAACAAAGGCGTATTGCAGTGGGTTTAGGCTTTCCGGGTCTAGTGTTTTAGGTCTAAGGGTTGAGAGGCGCTCAGGGTTTGCGTGCAGGTCTGAGGAACTGGTTTCACGTAGGATCACAAGTGGGGTTATGCACACACACACACACACACGGAACATCCGGTTACGAATTCCGGAACCCCCTACTCAGAACTGGC